ACATGATGTAAAAGAAAGTGTTATATATCAGACCAGGCCACCTTCTTCTATTGCTCTGTGGTCTAGTTCTGATGCTCACATTCCCATTGTAGGCACTTTTGGCGGTGGACAAGGGTCAGCATGGGCACCCTGACCAGTCTGCAGCTATACATCCCCATAAGCAAAAACTGTGATTCACCTTGTGTTCAAACCTTTCTATTGGAACCAACACTAATTTTGTTTTTAGCAATTTGAGCTACAGTAGCTCTTCTGTTGGATCTGACTACACGGCCAGCCTTCAGTCCCCTTATGCATCAATGAGCCTTGGCCGCCCATGACCCTGTCACATGTTGTTATTATTATTATTATTATTATTCAGGATTTATATAGTTTCAACAGTTTTGCACAGCGCTTTACAATATAAGTAAAAACATTACAATTACAACACAATTTAAGACAAGATAGTAAGGGGGGCTTACAATCTAATGTTCACTGGTTTTCCTTGCTTGGACCACTTTTCGTAGGTCCTGACCACTGCAGACTGGGAACATCTTACAAGAGCTGCAGTTTTGGAGTTACCCTGACTCATCTAACCATCACAATTAGGCAACTGGTGGCGAGTAACTCTTGAGGCCTGGCTAGTAGCTCAGGACTTGAAATTTTGACCCCTGCACTATAGCCTGTACAGCTCCCGAAGGCAGCCGAGCGGCTCAGCCGACACCCGAACGCCTCGCAGATGGCAGCTGGGTCGGAGCATGGCTTGCTCCGCCCAGTTGCAATGACAGATCAGCGTCCCCAGGTTACCTGGGGATGCTGAACTGTTGTTAAACAATGACAACTGGGCGGAGCCGGCAGTGACGTCATGGCCAGCTCCGCCCAGTTGTTATTCATTGGGCGGGACCTGCTAGAAGACTCTAGCAGGTCCTGGCAAATAGGAAATAGTTCGGTGGAGCTAGCTGTCACTGCTAGCTCCGCCCAATTGTTTTTTTCATCTCTGTTCACTTCGGCTCAGTTACGGTAGTCACTCGGCAACTTTGTGAGTAACCCTCATAGTGGTGTCCCCATTGGAGGATTTTCTCAACTCCTGACAGCTCTAAAATTTAGAATTTCCCAGAACTTTCTCTCTGGATAACAATGGTCACCAGCACAAATAATGAGAATTGTGAAAATCTACCTAGGGAAAATGAATACAGCAATAACAACTTTACAGGGATTTGAATCCTTACCTATTGAATCCAAAATGAAATACTGTAGATACACCACAATTATACAAACACGTCAGTGGCTTGATTTTGCTTTGCGTTTGCTTTGACTGTGTCATCTAGGGAGGAACATCTATTAGAAGTCTCTTTGTTCATATTAGACACATCAGGGTAGGGTGTAATTATTTATAAATATGTTTGTTGAATTTCTTAATACCAAGTTAAAAATACTTGTGGGTGCTAGTGTGTGTGTGGGGAAAATGAAAGCACAAAGCGGAAATATGAATAAACAATATAATGTTATGTATAATGTTATGATTGCAGAGGCTCTGGACAGGCTGCATCTATGGTCTATAACATATATAGTGGTATATTTGTATAAATATATATTGTGATAAGGAGAGACCCAGTATAAAGTTTATACAATGAGTTTAGCAAGGTTTAGAAAGGATTTTCATATGCTGCATGTATACACCATCACTTTCACTGTTGCCCTTGGAAGCATATATAGAGGCAGCATTATTTACACATGTCTGCTCTGCTTTCTGCTTTGTAGTGCTATGAAGTGGTTGTGCCTTACTGCTCCTCCTCACAATGCCAGTCTATGAATCAGCTGACACAGCAAAAAAACATTGTTGGTTCCTGCCTACTTGATATCTTATCTCAGAGGTTGTTGTCAAATGTCATCTATGGCAGCTTACCAGTCCGTAGATGTAGTGGCTGTATTCATTCTCATTTTTAGGCTAAGGATATTTTCAACAAAAACAGACTATACCTGTTGAGCGTGTCAATGCCAGAAATACAGTGTCCTTGTCAGGGATCCCAACCTGAAAAAAGCAATTTCAGGGAGGTGCCCTGAAAGGTACATGAGAAGCAATAGCTTCTTTGCTATCTGCTGTGGTTTTTTTATATTTTGACAGCTGCTGCCGTCAGAGTAAGGCTGGGTTCACACCTAGGCGTATTGAATATGCGCGTTTGTCGCGTATATTCAATATATATCTTCCATTTGGATACAGCTACTTGGCTGTATCCCAATGGAAACGCGAGACCAAAACGCCCCAAAGAAGTACGTGTACTTCTTTGGGCGTAGGCCGTTTTGTATCGCATTCAGACGGGCGGAAATACGGCAAGGTGTGAACCAGACCCATTGAATACAATGGGATTTAGATGTTTGAGCGTTTTGTAGAGCGTTCGTCGAGCGTTGAAAGCGCTACAAAACGTTCAGGTGTGAACCAGGCCTAAAAAAAAGAAAAACAGAAATGAAAAGCTAGATTGCTATTGGCTAGTTCAATTTGTAGCATCCAATAGCAAGCTGGCTATTGCACCCGCCCGCTGCTGCTGTCAATCGCTAGAAGAGGACCTGATGTAGAACTTCAGGTCCACCTTTGCTGATTGACAGCAGCAGTGGGCGGGTGGAATAGCTAGTCTGCTATTGGCTATTGCAAAGTAAAATAGCCAATAGCAATCTAGCTATTCATTCCTATGGTGTGGTTTTTTTTTTTTCTCTGACTGACTGCGGCCCCAGCGTTAGAAAAAATAAGAAAAAAAAAAAACAGATAGCAGGGAAAGGTTTACTCTGCTAGATAAGCAGAGTAAAACTTTCCGGGAGAAAATGCTTCTGCTATCTAATAGCGGGAGACTCCCGGAACGTCCGGGAGAGCTGGGATGTCTGCCTTGTCACTTCCACTGAGCTGAACTGAAAGCACAAACAATGTTATCTTCCTTCTGTAAATAACTTATCTTCCCTCCTCCAATGTAACAGAGATGAAGAAGGAAGACATGTCTGAAGTTTAAACATGGCTCCTTCTATAGATACAGTGGGGGACTGAGTGTAGCCATTCAGAGACATAAATTTACAAGATTACCAGGTAAAAATAAAGGAAACAAAAATGAAAAACGAAAATGAATGCAGCCTCTAGATCTAAAGACTGGTAAGCTGTAATATATATCGAATTTTTGTTTTTGGGGTTAAATACGCTTTATGAAGGAAGTGACTGCAAGTGTTTGCTCCCTCTTCCATCCCTACAGTCAAGCACGGAGGTGGAAACATTATGCTTTGGGGCTGTTTCTCTGCTAAAGGTACAGGCCGACTTTGCCGCATTATGGGGCCAAGGGGCGGGGCCACGTATTGCAAAATATTGGATGAGAACCTCCTTCCCTCAGCCAGAACAATGAAGATGGGTCGTAAATCAGGCAAACTTACAAAATCTGCAGGGGATCAAATAATTATATATATATATATATTTATTTTATTTTTTTAATTTGTTTACATTTTGCTTATCAGCCTGCGCTTCCACCTCTCTCACCTAGGCAAAAATGACATAGCCCCCAGCTGTCCACACCTCCTGAGATACTCATGCCACGCATCCCAAGAGGCTGTGGGGCAATCTACTGCAGATGCACATGCACTGCATCATCAATGGGCCGGCTGCACAAACCAGGAGAGACAGCCGCCCCCCGATGATGTAGAAAAGGAAGACAGCGGCAAGGGCTCTGGTGTACAGCAGCAGAGAGGCGTATTACAGCAGGACAACACTGGATTAGCTGGGTATGCAAGTATGTTCATTGAGGATATTCTAGCAAAAAAGGTAACAGGGGTTTAAAGCAGAACTTCGGGCACAAATTTTATTAAGCCTTGCAATGGGTCTACCCCGGCTGTGACAGCGCTCTTTACACAGCCTGTCTCCTCATCCACTGCAGAAATGGTATGTCCCTTGGCGTCCTCTACACACTGTGTATTGAATGTGATGATTCAGGAACCTTAGACCGCTGCAGCGGAGGGGGAGCAAGGTGGAAGAGACCAGTCTAAGAGCCTGACATCTCTGAGGATCAGGTGAGTATAACTTTTTTTTTTACCTAGACAAAAATGAGCAGTTAACCCTTGCAGTGCGGGGGTAGCCCCACTGCAAGAGTTAAAAAAATTGTGCCCAGAGTTCTGCTTTAAAATAAAAACATTACCTAGGGGTGATGTTCCTCCTTGAGGGTCTATACAAGTTCCACTGTAGTAATCTTACAGTATGGGGGGGGGGAGTTCTAATATTTGCACTAGAGGGGTTTCTAGGGTCCTAATAGTCCAGGAGTACCCGTGGCACACATTAAAATGTTGAGGGGATGGTAGGATAACATGATGACCACCTTGGATCAGATCTAGGACTAAAAAAATCTTTGTAACTGTACAAAAATGAATTGGTTTTAAAAACGATATTGTCACACAAACAATAACAATAGTAAATGAATTGAAAAATAGACACTTCATATAATGTTCCCAGACTTTATAATGCATAGAATGCATCATCTTCATAGCTGAAATGTGACCCTCAGTAGAAGATCTAGGGCATGTGCCTTTGGGGTCAGGGTCTAGCAATGCAATGTAGCTAACATACAAGTATAATTTATTTGCAATTCAGGAGATATACAATTTTAATTAATGCAATATAACTAAAATATTTAAAAAATTCTTAAAACTACTGCTCTTTAAAATCTGTGCTTCTGTGTAAAAAAACAACAACCTGTGCTGTCTGAAATGTGTGCACAGATGAATATAGCAGCCAGCTTTACTGGAACTAAAAGCCCCAGCATGTTTTTTGAAGGGAGCTTTAATAGCAAGGCATTAGTAAAGCAGCAGTTGTCATAACTTTGTAAATTGATAAGACTTGAATCAGCTGGTTTCAATCATTTTCATTACCAAATCAGAGGATAAAACACAAAAATGAATTGCTATGCCAGTGAAGTTTTACAGACTGCAGCTGCCACAGTCCATCAGCACTAGTGCAGTACAGTGACAGCAGAAGCAGCATGTAGGTAAACTGGTAAACTTACATTAGCTCCCTTGTGTAGAAGTTCCTCCACCATAGCTCTTCCAATTCCCTGGGCAGCTCCAGTGACCAGTGCCACCTTTCCATTGGCATACATGATGAATGGATGTGATGTGTCAGCTCTCAGTGTGGGTTGTATGAGCGTTCAGCTCTTGCACAGCTCTGTCTGTCCTCCTCCTCTCTCGGACTGAGCTGTGTTCTATCTCTTTCCTCTTCTTCAATGTCTAGGAGTGGGCGGGCAGACTGCTGAGTGCTGCGCATAGGTAACCTGGATCCGTGTCACTTACCTGCCCTTTAACTCTTTCCGCTGACTCATCTCTTCTCTCTATAGAATCCTCTTCTATTATACTCAGCCACTTCTACATCATCTGCCATTTCCTCTAATTCTGGTCTGCTTTTGTGCTGCTTGGATCCGTGATTCAGTCTCTGTCGTTTCCCCATTGATTATTTCAGCGGTGACAGCCAAGGCAGAGGGGGCCAACTTCACCCAGCGCCGCAGTGCCAGGCTGATCCAGAGATATGATCTTACAATTCATTCAGCTCCTTTCTTGTGTTCAGTATGTATTCATAGATTCAGCTTCTGCATCACCCTGCACTTTGTATCGGATTGGGTAGGAGAAGGAAGATTTGTACTGCAATGATTCCTGGGCACTGCCCTAAAGCACAACTCCAGACAAAAGTAACAAGATGGAAATCAATAGCCCATTATGGGGTCATTCACACTGGATACCTTCAGGTGTGTTTTTTAAGGGTGTATTCACACCAAAATGTGTGCATTGGCAAGTGCGTTCATTTGCGTTGGCATAGTACGTTAACATGCGTTGTGTTACATTATGTTGATGTTTTTGTTAACTTTCACACTAAGCTATATAAGTTATTGGTGCTGCCTTGCGTTGATGTCCATTGCATTGACGCACGTTAAACCCGTGCTGTGTTGCAGTGCCTTGCACTGAAAAAAAAGTAGAACCTGCTATCTTTTTAGAGGCATGCGGTTCATGCAATGTGAGCAGCGCGAGGTGGGTAGAGGAGACAGCATCACCAGACAGTAGACTGAAGGTGCCCTCTGCAGGCTCTGTATCTCCCCCCAGTGACATCACTGGTTGGCAGGATACCGGCCAAAGCTTTGCAGGTTGCTAAGAGCTGAGTGGGAAGAGGTGAATGGCCCTTACACATCTCTCCACCCAGCTCTTAGCAACCTTAGATGTGCTGGCTGGAAAGGAGATGGCAGATACACTGCCACCATTGTGCAGCAGACAGTGACGTGCGGTTTGTTCGCTTCTTGGTGAGGCATGCCCAGCTCCACCCCTAGTATGCAAGAAAACCCCGCCCATATCCAGACAAAACCCCACCCCTATCCCGACGAAGCCGTGGCTAGTGTGGAGGGAGGAGCCTCATTTGCTCGTCACTGCTGAGGCATCGAGATCGATGGCCTCAGTGGGTTTTTTTTTCTTTTTTGATTGGACAGGTTGGACCAATGGCTCCAAACCATCCACAGAGCTCATGCCTCTAACAAAGAGTAGAGGTTGTGACAACTCTTGCCTCACTATGTTAGGTTAAAAAAGCTGTGTCATGCTGCCTCAATACGTGTTCTTGGTACCACTTTTAACAGCAGGCGATTTCTGTTAATGTACAAGCGATCCGGCGTCGGTACAGGTGCCGGATCGTTTGTACTGTGCCCCCCCCCGCAGCGGCCGCCGTTGTCTTCCCCGGGTACCGTGCTCCCCGTGCGGCGCCCGGGAGGGGCTCGGCGGGTCTCCCCGCTGATCTCTCCTCCGATCACTGGACAAGTAAGTGATGTGTATTACATCACTTCCGGTGTCACTCTTACAGTCTCCGGCTCTTAGAGCCAGGAGATGAAGCTGGAGAAGCAGATCTCTGCTTCCTCGGCTTCTTTGGGGTCCCTAGGTGACATCAGAGGTCTGACCCCTGATGTCTCCATAAAGAGCACCTGTCACACCCTACCTTCTATTACATCGGGTTATTGTTAGCCCCCTATGTGATAGCAATAGGGTTAGTGTAAAAAAAAAGTGAAAAAGTGTTTAAAAATGGTAAACAATTAAAGTAAAATATTTTAAAAAAGCGTAAAAGCGTTTAAAATGTTCCCTATGGGAAATTTGGGGTATCGATTTTTTTGCGGCTTCACGGGCGAACACAATTTTAAGGCTTGGCATGTTTGGTATCTATTTCCCCGGGATGACCCCGTCTTTTATATTTTACCAAACAATTGGGTATTATATTATGTTTCTGTGCACTAAATTTTAATTTAGTTTCTTTTTTCCTAAAAATACTGGTTTGATAAACATTTGCGCAAGAACCTTGCAACATAAAAAAATTACAACTAGCATTTTTTTATTCTACAGGGCTTCTGCTTTCAGAACATATATCATTGTTTGGGGATCTGAAGCTGTTTTCTAGCCAAAAATGTATATTTTATCATGTGTGTTCAAATAGTAAGAAAATGCCCTGGACAGCAAACGGTTAAGGGACAGCCCTGGGCAGCAGTCTGCAAGGTACCGGTGTGAACTGCTCTCATTCACACCCATTCATTTTGAGATGCTCTTGCGTTGGCATCCATTGAAAAATGGATGCCAACACATCTGGTGTACAAATGTATTATGAAAGCATGCCCAGAAAATAAATGGCTTCTTATCAGCATAGTTCACAGCACTGCATTCATTTCCAGTGCTTTCAGAAAAACGTACATCGGCATGGGTGTAAACATAACACATGTAAACACAAGTGAGGAAGAATTCTAGTTGGACTTCTCTGGATTTTTATAGTGAAGGAAAAAAAAACAGATGCCAAATAACACACTGCAATGCATTAAAACACATGTAAATGCACATGCAGATACGCCAACTGAACATGAGGACTGCGGTGTGAATAAGCCCTATGGGCCCATTTTTACCAGATGCAAAGAGATGTGTCTTAAAAAAAAGTCCAAAATGTTAGCTAATGAGTGTAGGCCACACCAGAGCCTTGCATTGCAGTAGTAAAGGGAAATGAAGATGACAGCAAGCTGCACATAAACGCAACAGGCCTAAATGCGACCCTGGGAATAAAAATGTAGCCACTTCTTATGAAAGGTCCTGCCCTATACCACTAACTAGTTATACATGTAGGGTGTACATAGCAGTGCAGACTGTAATTAGGCATCGTAATGGCAGCCAAGGGATGGGTGGATGTGGAATCCTGTATTAGCATAGTCCAGAAGCACCCAGGAAAACGCTGACGTTCCAGTACAAGTATATTTTTGATAAAGACTGTGTAGTGAAAACAAAAATAAGCTGCAAATGCATGAAAAACACATATCAGACTCAGATATGTAATATCAGATGTAAATGTGCATGCAGAAAGGCATGAACAACACGCGGTATTTGATGTTAATGGGCCCTAGAAGTTGAAATGCCTAAACAAATGTTTGCAGTTTTTCTGCAGCATTCACTTTCAATTCAGAGATTTTGCACACACCCTCCCCCCTCACAGTACTGTTTTTGTACTCTCATTAAGTTCCTCAATCCGATGGCCAGCATAGTTCAATTCACTTCCTTTGAGCACAGGTCATCTTGAAGAGTCTTCCTAAACAATCCAATCAGGAATCCTCTAATACTACAAAAGTTTATACTGTGTACCTCCAAAAAAAAGGTGAAGGTGCTGAATTTGCTTGTGTTTGCTGTAATCTTATGACATTCTTGAATGCTAGCATAACAATCAATTCAGCCAGCATGTAGAGGATTAAAGGAGATTTTTTTTATTTTCACTTTTTTTTTTTAAGTCTCAGAACAATACCGCATTATACAGCATTATACAGCATTGCCCTCTTTACTGTGACGAGTGACAGTGTTTTATTTAATCAATGGAAACATGACTTTAGACTCCCCTCTTGTCTTCAAAGGGTTTAGTAGAGGGGTGCCTGGGCTCTCCAGCTCCCTCTGGAAGCCCCTCCCACCCCCAGCATGCAGTGACAAATCACACTGTGCCCCTGAGGAATGGGGTGGGCATGGTATGCTTTGCAAGCACCGGGCAGCTGAGTGCCTGAGCAACCCGGATGCCTGCCTTTTGTTGCATAAGAGCAACTGCCTGTCTGACATCTGACTGAGGTCTGTAGTAAGAATAATCTTTATTATAATAGTTCAGCTCTAAAAGGAGAACTATGGGGTTAATGCTTTTCCCCATAATTGTCCTTAGGGTAACAGGTGGACACAAACTAGCATCCTCCCGTCACCCTAAGCTCAGTATACCGCGAGCTACAGCTCGCGGTATACTGAGACGCCGCAGCTAAAGCGGATCCCGACAATTATGTCTGGATCTGCCCAGCTGCATGAGTGACAGCTGGCTTTGCCTATCTAGAGGCAGAACCAGCTGTACCCGCCCCCACCCCGTCCGATCCGCCAGTCAGCGCTGACGGATCAGAGCGGGAAGGGGGGAATCTAGCCCCTCCCCTGTCATGGCAGAGAGCTGTGACAGGATCGAGAGGTGAGCAAACGTTGGTATGTGTTCGCTTACCTCCCGATCTACTGAGCCGACCTGTGACAGTCACAGGTCGGCTAGAACTATGAGGTGAGTGAAAAGCACTCACCTCATAGTTCTCCTTTAAAATTGTATTTTACTTTATTGTGAACATTTATATGTATTATTTGTATTTATTTGGTATTTAAAAGTCTGTTATGTGCTAAATTAAAAAAAACAAATAACATACTTACATAGACCAATGTGTCCCTGTACGCCATATAGCCTAGGAGATTCCACAGCTTGCAGCTGAATGTAAACAAAAGGGCTGGGGATGCTGGCTATTATAATTCCCCAAATATGGCCATATCTTGGGGAATATTGTCAGCCAGCATCCCCCTTGTTTACATTTAATTGTCCTAGTGACGTTCTGAACGCCAGCCTGCTATTGGCTATGGAACCCGCCCACTGCCAATCAGCCGCAGAGCAGACCTGATGGGGAACACAGTTCTCTGAATTTCCCATCAGGCTCCACCCACTGGAAGCAGTTGGACAGTTGTGGGAGAAGACAGACAATTAAAGACACAGAAGAGATGATCAAGGATTGTGGAATCTGATCATGGAAAGGGAGCAGTCGGGAGGACAGTAGAATTGGATAATCATGTACAGAGG